AGGAAGTGTCTGGAGAGAGGGAAGTCTGGGCATCTTTGCTTAGACTGCTGCCCCCGCGACCCGGTCCCAGATAAGCGGAAGAAAATGGATGGATGGATGTCTGTCATTCCAATATATAACAAGGCAAAGTACATTCAGAGCAAAGATTTGAATATTCCATAGAGACTCCACTGACACCGCCCTACCCTGCCTCACTACAGTAACAGAGACACCTGTATAATGCAATGAAATACAAAACCCTTGCAATAAACAGAAAAATATTACAGTATTTAGTTTTTTCAGAAGGTGATTCTACTCATTTTTGACATAATGGTTTGCGGTGCTGCTGTGCTGACCTGTACATCTCCAGGGTTTGTGCAAACTGAAGCACATTGTTGTAGTCTCCAAAGAGGTTGGAGATGCAGACTGTGAAGTTAAAGTGCAACCTTTCATCCTCCTTCTCATTGGTCTTTTTGTTTCTTATTGGGAGCCAAATCTGGTCGGACATCTTCTTTTCGTCTGCCTGAGTCAGAAGAGTGACATGTGTAGCATTGCAGTGTTGAGGAATCTGACACATGATATCAGTAGTTGTGAAGGCAAAACTAAAGTTGTCTGAGTGTTGTGAAATTGTTGCTGGAGTTGATCCTGAGAAGTAGCCAGAACAGCAGAAGAGACAGTGAAGGAGCTGGATGGAGTCTCTCCTGAAGATGCCAATGATGCGTATATCAAAACCAGTAACTCTCTGGTCGGCGTATGCTGACACCAGTAAGTGCTTTGTGTTGTTGAGAGGGGTGATGGTCTGTTCAGAGATTTGAAAGGGACAAGTATGCAGAACCCCACATGGCTTTGGGACGGCCCTGAATGTCATGGGAGTTCTCATAGTTATGACAAAGATGATGACAGGAATTAAGAGGAGGATGAATTTCCATTTGATGATTTTTGCCTTGTCCATACAGCCAGATAGATAGATTCCCAACCTAAGGCAGAATAAGAAACCAGTTACAGACATAAAATGTGTGCAATAAAATAAACATTGTCATATCTGCAGTAAGATCTTCTTAAGGGATGTGAATGTGGCCAAACTGTATTTTAAACAATTGTTTAATTATACACATTTTACAAAATTCCTCTGCTCTCTAAAAAAAACCCTATGGTAGTATTCTGCCAGCACTGGTAATGAAAGCTCTGACTGTTTCACTCTGTTACCAGACACACAGGAACGTAAACCATGTTTTAACATGTATTTTGCCACGCTCCTCTGCCTCCATGGTTAATTCTGTGTATTTCAGTTTCTTCCTCTCATCTGTATCTACAGCATCCTTCCAGGGAACTGTAAACTAGACAAAATACACCATTCTTCCAACCACAACATAAGGTCTGCTCTGAGGTTAGTGCTGACTATCTCCTCAGGAACTATGAGCTACCGATTCCCTAAACACACTTTCATTTGCCAGTCTCTCCCAGACACCACCTCACCTCTCCAGTTGCTGCCAAGCTGTAGTATACTCTGCTGTTGTGAAACATCTGGATAACCTAAAAAATTTCTCTCACTAGCAACTCATTAGCTTCCTTTATTACTCAGCCTGTACATCGAAATATCTGTGACAAATGCAAAATCAGAAATGCCCTCATCCATCTCTGTCTTTTGCGATTTTTCTACCATGTCAGTGGCCCTGAGCTCCAAGCTTATTCATTTTCTAAAATAATTGGGCGTTTTAGTTTTTAGCAAATATTCCAGAAACAAAAGTAAATTGCTTATTTTGTTTAGGGATATTTTCAGCCACATTTT